CTAGGGAGGAAGGTGATTCCTGCTGAGGCCAAAGGCCTGCCAAAGGAAAGGGCAGGCGCTGGGCTGGAGTCAGGGCCATGGGCATGGCCGCCTGGGCCCAAACCACAGACCTGGAAGCAGCTATGCTGTCTGAGATGGGGGAGGGGATTCCCCCCAGAGGGGGGGGAGGGGGGGAGGGGGGGAAGCAGGCGGTCAGGGAGCCAGCAGAGGCCAACCAGGGAGGGCCTCACCCTCCTGGTGGGCGAGTGGTTGGCAATCCTGGGTCTCCTCCCTGTCCAGGGGCCTCCTAGCGGTCGGCAGGAGACAGGTAGGGAACAGCCAGGTGTTCTTCCATCCTAGAGAGGGAGAAGCCCCAGGACAAGGAGGCGGCTCCAAGCAGGCCTGCAGGAAGCCTGGTGCCACGCCTGCTGCCAGAGCCCTGGCACGCAGCAGCCCCTCTGGGGCCTCATGCTGCAAACACCAGGCAGGAAACAGGTCTGCGTCCTGAGATGCCAGGCTAAGAGGGGATTTTGGGGTCTCTGGGCCTACCAAGGTTTCTTGCCTTTCTTCCCTCTCACACATGCTGAGACCTTCTCCTGCCACTAAACCATTGCTCCACAGCCCTGAGGCCCATTGCTTGGGTGGCCCAGGTCTTGCTCTGGGGCCATCCTTCGTCCTGTAGACAAACCAGGCCGGAGGAAACCAAGGCATTTTAGCACAGGAGCAGGGGTGAGGGTTGGGGGGGGGGGAGTGCAGAACATACAGGCTAAGAGAGGAGTGAACTCAGACTTCAGTGCTTCCTGGAGAGGCCCAGGGGACTTAGTGGCCAGAGTTGGAGCTGCAGCTGCCACAGAGAGAATGCACGGTGCAGACTGTGGAAGTCTAACCTTCAAATTTGGGCTGGTCGTGGGGCTGCTACGGCAACAGCTGGCTGAGGAGTGGGAGTAAAGAGAGACTGTGCCAAGAGTGATGGCTCAGAGGGAGAGGGACAGGAAGGGAGGATTTCCCACACTCAGCACAAGCCAGACCCACCAGTGGCTGGGCTCTGATATAGCCAGGACAAGGGACATTCTGTCCCTCCTTAGGCCCAGCAGATCTATTCCTGAGGACTCTTTCTGGTCCAAGAAGCCCTCAGAGGCAGCTGAAGCCTTGGGCCCTGTTTGGGGACAGGAAGGATAGAAGGCGAGAAGGCAGATCAGTATGCCTGGGAGATCCATAAATTAATCATTTTTTTCTGGGTGGGGGTCAGGGTTTACCAGGCTAGCCTCCTGCCTCAGCCTCTGGAGGAGTGCTAAGATTACAAGTGTGCCACCACACCTGGCAAGTTCCCCAAATTATTATGCTTGAACTTTTCTTTCTAGTCAACAGGCAGGCAGAAGCCCCTCAGAGATCCTCCTGGGAGCGCTGACATTGGATGGGGTGTCTTTCCCTACACTTTGGTCTCCCTGCAATTTCTATGAAATTCGGGGATCTCTCGGGATCTTCCGCCCCCAGATCTCATGGGACCTAAGAAGCCTGAGGTGCTCCAAGTCTGGCTGCCAACCACAGCACCTAGACTCCGGACTCCCGGACTCTGGGCTCTTTAGTTCCTCATTTCTCAGCTGTGTGACCAGCCGCCTCTTTTCTTCCTGCGCCACCCCTGCTGAGAGTTGACTATAAACCATCTGTGAAGGCAAAGGCAGTGGAGCCTGGAACCCGCTGCAATCATGCCTGCTTGGCATGTGAGCAAACAGCCTAAGGGTGTGCCCACTTCTCCTCACTGTGAAGCAGTTGAAAGGAGGAAAGAGTTATTTGGGTCCCCGAGGTTACAGTCCACGCTTGGCCGGCTCCATTGTTCTCAGGCCTGAAGGAGGCAGACACCTCTGGGTGGAAGGTGTGGCTTAATCCAGCTGCTCACCTTCCAGCAGCCAAAGATGGGGAAGCCTCAACCTGTAATCCGCTTTCTCCAGCTAGACCCCGCCCCTATGTCCATCACTTCCAGTAACACCATCAGATTATGATCTCATAGGTGGACTAATCTACTCTACAGCTCTTAGGATTCAGTCACGTTCTGGGCCTCAACTCTGAACATGGCTGCTGGGGAGCAAGCCCTTACTACTTGAGTTCCTAGGGGACATTTGACACTTAAACCTTAACAAGAGGTCTGCTTGTCACACTGTTCAGAGGATCAAACCTCAGTTTGTTTTACAAGCTCCTGTCCCATCTGGCTACAGGGATTATGTGAGATACCTTTTTTTTTTTTTTTTTTTTGTATTTTAGTACAAGGTCTACAGGGTCTCACTGCATAGATCAGACTCGTAGTGATACGCCTGTATTTAGCCTCTCAAAGAGCTGGTATTACAGGGGTGCGCCGCCATGCCCAGTCTCAATCTGTCTCAGTGTGCCCTGGGGGCAGGGCCAGCATGGCACACCTGGGATTGAACCCTGGCCGGTTGCCGTGCTGTGCTGTGCTGTGCCTAAACAGGCACTTTAATCCACTGAGCTATTTGGCGGGCCCTTTTTTTTTTTTTTTTTTTTTTTTTTTTAATGTGTTTGATTTAGGCTCTTATTACACAGGTTGGCCTTATAGTGATCCCTCTGTTTTCAGCCTCCCCAGCACTGGGATTATAGTTGTGTGCCCACCATGCCTGGTCTTGGTGGCCAGCTCAGTGCATCCATGGGTGGGGCTGGTATGGCATGTGGTGCTGGTATCGAACCCGGTCTCTGTGCTTGCCTAAGCAGGTGCTTAGTCCACTGAGCCCTTGAGATAATAGCTATTAAGTGGCTAGCACAGAGCCAGGCTCCTGTAAGCACTCCTAGTCACCACCCACCAACCCTGAAGTGCTCTTCTAGTGGTGGGAGAGGAGAAAGGAGAAGAGTGCAGCAGTAGCAATCAGGGGCTCCCTGAAGGAGGCAGTTTAGGATGGAGGATGGCTAAACTTACAACACTGCTGGGTTATAAGGCAAAGCACCAAATTCCCTGTCTGTAGGGTGGTGCCATCGCCATCCCTCCCTTCTCTGGGGTGAGAGGGAGCTTCTCTTTTTTTTTTTTTTCCTTTGGTGGTACCAGGGATCAAACTCAGGACCGTTCACTTGCCAGGCAGGCGGAAGGAGCTTCTTTGAGGAAGGGAAGTTTTGTAAGGAGTTGGTGTGGTCCATTAGTGGGTAGAACATTATCTCATAATCACAGCAGGCTGAGGTCCACAGAGCTGAGGGGTCATCTTGCCTGGCAAAGTCAGCAATACCCATCAACATATAAAGGAGGACGGGTGTACCCCTTTTGGGGCCTGTGTGGAGCTGGGAGGGGGAAGGGTTTTCTGTGTTGCTTTGCTAACCTTATCCTGGAAGCCCACTGAGGGCAGATCTTCCTTCACTGCCTTTTACCAGGACACCAGGACCACAGCGCTCCTATCTCTTGGGAACTCCCAGGGCAGCAGTTGGTGAGGGTGGCTTTAGAGTGTTCCCCATGATGCTTGGGGAACAGAGGGGGCAGAGGTCAGGGGTCAAGCAAAGCCTTGGCAGGAGGAATGCAGTCACCTGGCCCCCTGCAGGGCCTCCCAGTTTGCAAGCAGGTCCTACCCCCCTCCCGACACACACATGATGTCCCACACTCAGGGCCCAGGACACGGCTTTTTTTGACAGTCCAGGAGAACAGAATGGCAAGCCCCAGATGCATGGCGTGTGTTCCTGGGAGTTGCGGCTGAATTAAGATGTAGAGTAAAAAAAAAAAGATGTAGAAGGGCTGCAGAACCCAAGGTGGCTTGTCTTAGGCTGGGTCCTACTAAGTTTGGGGAAATTAGAGGCCACCAGGCACACCTTTGCACACAATCTGGGCGTCCTGGGCCCCAGTATTGAGGAAATTGCCCTCCTCCCTCCCCACCCAGAACTAGCTGGGCAGAGGTGGGTATAAGGAGCTGAGCATAAAGTCTCTTAACTGGGGCTAAGGCTGTCACCGGGTTGTGTCCCCAAGCTGTCTGTGCACTGATGTACTTCCCTCACACCAAGCTGTGGCTGCAGGAAGCCTCCCCTGGGTCCCCAGTCTGGGTGCCAAGAAACCTGGGATTTTATCCCATTTTGCAAGTGACCTGGGGAGAGAGACAGCCCCAACCCTCCAAGTCTCCTCTCAGATCTTTCCAGACTATGGTCCAGCTGCATAGGTGACACCCTCTCCTGTCCCAGGTGACCTCACTTCCTCTTCCCAGTCCCACCTGAGCCCAGCCCCTCCTCCCACTCCAGCTGCTTCCAGGCTGGGACACCTGTGCCTGGGCTGCTCTGCTCTGACTCAGGCAGCCTGACCTTCGTTTCTGAGGTGGCCTGGCTGCTCCTGCTCCCTGAACTTGCCTGGACCTTTGCCACATCCACCTGCCTTCCTTCCCTCACATAGGCATCTGTCCCCAGTCCTTGGAAAGCCCTAGGAGTACCGGGACTAGAGAAAAGAGGGCACAGGGGTAGGGGTGCTCATCTACAATCAGGGGACCCGAGTCTGTCCCTTGCATCCCTCTTTGCAAATACCACTTTTGACTGGGGACAGTGCACCTATCCAACCTCCCGGGATACACGGCAGGAGTTGTTTCCACAGGAAAGGTTCAGCAACACTACCCACCTAGAACATTCAGCAACCCTTCCCCCACACTCTCCTTCCCATCCCGGGGTCGGGAGAGCACCCCTTCCTCAGACAGCGAGAGAGCCGGCTATCGCGTCTGTAATGCGCCCTGCCAGCCCCCTGATACAACCAGTTCTGACCAAGATAGTCAGGAACCGATTGAGTGCAGGTGTTTCAGACCACCTCTGTCAAGGCTGGCGACGTCACCGCACAAGGTCACAGGGTTACAAAGTGATAACGGACACGCAAACCAGCGCGAGGACCGGGCAAGGGCGCGAGGCTGCCCGCGCTGGTCGATGCAAGGAGCGAGGCCGAGGTGTCCCGCGCGGCTCCGGCACCCTGGGGAGCGCTGCTCTCAGAGGAGGCTCGGCCCCGCCCCGGCCCGCCCCCGGCCCGCCTCCGCCCCGCCCCGCTCGGGACCGCAGACGGCGCCCGGCGGCGGCGCGAGCGGCTGCACCCTGGGTGGCTCCGGCAGTGGTATCCTCGACTTCCCGCGCTGACCCGGCCGGACTGGGACAGGCGGCGTGGGCCGCGCCAGAGGATGCGGCCGTGGTCCCGGGCGGCGGCAACGCGAGGCCCGGCGTCCAGCAGGTAGGTCGGAGCCCGCGCGGGCGGGTGCGGAAACTTGGGCCGAGTTCGTCGCGGCGCGTGGGGCGGGGGCGGGCGCAGCCCCAGGGCGCCCCCACCGGCCGGCCCAGAACGAGCGGGGCCCGGGCCGCGGCTTCCGGAGGGCGGGTCGCGGTCTGGGGCTCCGGCGGCGAGGAGGAGCCGCGCCGAGCCTCAGCCCCCGGGCGGCTCACGTGGGTCCCGGGCGGGGACGACGTGGGGGAGGGGCGCGGTGGGGCGGCCCCGCGGGCTCCGCGCCGCTCGTGACTCACACTCTGGCCTCGGCCCAGCCGGCGGGGTCGCCCGAGGCAGCGGCTCAGAACTCCGCGCCTGTTCGGGGGGCCTCAGCTGTTTGCGCGGGTGCAGGCTGGGGCAGTGTGCGCACGAGCAGGCTCGAAGTGCACGAGTCGTAGTGCCTGTGTGTCAGCTTGCTGGGGTACATTTGAACCCAGTGTTAACGGGAGGGCTTGTAGGCACCCGGAAACCCGCGCGGTCCGGTGCGGCTTGCAGGGGCAAGGGGGCAAGCCGATCTCGCACCCGCCTTCCCCTGGAGCCTTGGAGAACCGGGAGTCTGGCCAGGGAAGTGGGGCCCATCCGCCTCCAGGAGTGCCCAGATGCCATGAGGTAGAAGTTGGGCATGGGTCACTAATCGTCCTTATCGGACACTGCTAATGGAACCATTGTCTGAGTCCTGATGTCCCTGCCTGTGCTTTCCCTGGTCCTCTGAACCCTGCCCTGGGCCTGGCTAAGGCTGGAGCTCAGCTAAGACCCACAGAACTCTCCCCACGAGGGTGACGACGGCTCCTGGTCCCCGGGGCGCCCTCCAGGCAGCCTTTTGCCACCTCCTTTGTGGTGGGGAAGGAGCACCTACTTTTTGGCTGCCCTCTGATTTGGGGAGGAGCCCCACTGACAGGAAGTAAGGTCACCTCCACCCTGAGGTCCCTGCTGTGTTGCTGGAGAAGCAAGACTCTTGAGTGTCTCAGGGGGCCTAGTGTTTGGTGGCTGAATTCCCAAGGAGTCTCCCAAGCCTCCAGGGCAAAGGGCACAGGCTGGGCTGGGCCCAGGAGAGGGTAATTTCTGGGGCTGGGGGTTGGTATAGAGCAAGCCTGAGGAAGAGGGGTGTGTCTGAGACCAGAGCCATGCTTAATGAATCCCAAGCTTCTCAAGTGCACAGCATCCCACCTCCATCCCAGAATATAGATCCTTACCTAGCACTGCTTGTAGAACTGTGGCCTGGGTCCTGCTGCCCCTCATGCCTTACCCAGGCACCCCTGAAGATTGCATGCTAGCCAGATGGACCAGATTTCTTTCCTGGAGCCCTGCCTGGCTCCCTCTCACAGTCAGGCTAAGCTGAGAGTGGGCATCAGCCCCCTGTTACCCTGGTGTTGTCCCCTCACTGGTCTTAACTCGGCCTCTGGCTGTCATTTGGCCACTAGCCAGAAGGGAGGAGAGCTCCGGTCCTTGCTTGCTGGTGACAGAAACCTGTGACACTTGGCCCTTGGCCTCATCATAGCAAGATTGAGCTGATTCATCCCTTTGAAGCCATGGACAGTCTTGGGGAATGGGGTGTGCAAAACAGGCTGGAGAATGGTGTGGCCGAAGCAGGCCTGATGTTAAGGAATCCTCCCTTGACCTCTCTTGGTCTTGCACCCTTTCTTCCTGTGGCCTTGCCTGGGACCTTAGACTTTCTCCAGCACCAAGTTGGGGAAAGTACCTTGGGGGTGGGGGGCAGTGAGCACTCTGGGCTCTTAGGACCTCCTCCTTGGGCTTTTTCCCACATATGCTCCTGCGCACACAGCCTATTCCTTGGTATATGAGGCCCAGGGCAAACGCGGGCTTTTCCTTTGCTCTGGGACCTTCCTGCTGGCACCACAGCTCCATCTGCTGGAGAGCCTGGGTGCTGCTGCTGGTGTTTGCTTGTATGCACCCAGCCTCGGGGCCACCTCTCCTAGGGGAATGATTACCCTCCAAAGCCAGGTCCAGAATTAGCATTGGCTCTGGGCCAGGGACCCTAGATTGGAGCCTAGCTACACTACTTTTTTTTTTTTTTTGGTGGTACTGGGGATTGAACTCAGGACCTTGTGCTTGCCAGGCAGCTAGCTATGCTATTTTTTTTTTTTTTTTTTTTTTTTTTTAAATCTGAACTTGTGGGGGGGGCCCGGGGTTTTTTTTTTTTTTTTTTTTTTTTTTTTTTTTTTTAAATCTGAACTTGTAGGGGAAGCCTGGGTTCTGTGGCTTGGATTTTATTTATTTTCTTTTTGGATTTTATTTTAATATTTGTTTTTTAAGATACGGTCTTTGTAGTCCCCACACTTGGCATCAACAGATGGTTTTATGGTTTAGAACATAGAGTCAGAGCCAGGCATAACTGCACATGCCTATGATCCTAACATTCAGGAGGCTGAGACAGGGAGATCATTGTGACCACCCTGGGCTACGTAATGAGTTCAAGTCAGCCTAAAGTACATAGGGTGACCCTGTCTCAAACTCTTTCAAGAAACAGAGTCAGAGAACCGCCATATTTTGTCTCCTGTGTGTGGTCTAACCTGAGCCTGCTGAGTGCCAGTTTGTCTGGGGGCAGTGAGCCAAAGAGCCTGGTCTACAGCCTGTGCTTCACGTGTGCCTGCTCACCACTGGTCTTCCTTCCCTAGGTCCACAGTGAGGCAGCAGTGGCCCTGGAGGGCTTGACACCTGCCCAGTGATGGCAGAGAAGCGGCCCCTGGGGAGCCTGGGGCCCATGATGTATGGCAAGTTGCCCCGCCTGGAGGCCAACTCGGGATCTGGACATGGCCTGCCCTCCTCTGCTGGCAGCCAGGACGCCTGTAGCTACAAAGGGGCCTACTTCTCTTGCCCTATGGGGGGCACCTCCAAGGTAGGGCCAGAGCGGCTGGCATCATGGAGCCCGTATCCACCCCTGTACCCTACCAGCATGGCAGGACCCCCACTTCGGGCAGACAGCCTGCTGACCAACTGCCTGCTCTACCGGCCACCAGCAGAAGGCTCTGAGAAGATGCAGGACTCAGGCCCTGGGGATCTCCTGCCTTTTGGCCCCCAGGCTCACGCATACCCGGGCCCACCATTGGCAGCACCCAAGCCTGTCTACCGCAGCCCCTTATGCTATGGGCTGCCCACTTGCCTGGGCGAGGGGCCAGCAAAGAGGCCTTTGGATGTTGACTGGACATTGGTGCCAGGTGCCCTATTGCCTTCAGCGGAGCCTCCCTGTTCTCTGACCCCTGCTCCTGGCAAGGGCCAGACCCTGGATGGTACCTTCTTACGTGGGGTGCCAGTTGGGGGACCTGGCAAAGATGGCTCACTGGGCTTCTCCCCATGCCCAGCATTCTTGGACAAATACCGGGCAGTCCACAGCACACCCTTCCTGGCCCCCAAGTACACAGCTCCTTACTCTGGGGACCCCAAGCAGGCAGTATCAGAAGGGCCCTCCAGTCCATGGGCCCAGCTGGCCCAGCCTGTGGGGCCACCCTTCCAGGAGACAGTGCCTACCCACTACCCACTTCCACCTCCTCCACAGGCCCTGCCCTGTGCCTCAGCCTGTCGTCACCTGGAGAAGCCAGGTAGCTATAGCTCCATACTTCCTGTGCAGCCCCTCGGAGCCCACAAGGGGACCAGGTACCAGGCTGGTGGGCTGAGCAGTTCCTACCTGAAGCAACAGGCACCCCAGATGCCCTACATGCCCCAGTCAGGGCCGGATACTTATTCCTACCCTTCTGCCCCCCTCCCGGCCCCCTCGCCAAGCCTCAAGTTGGAGCCCCCTCTTGCCCCACGGTGCCCACTGGATTTTGCCCCACAGACTCTGGGTTTTCCATATGCCCGGGATGACCTCTCTCTCTATGGAGCATCCCCCGGCCTGGGAGGTGCACCACCTCCCCAGAACAGTATGCAGCCTGTACCACAGTCTGGTGCCTTCCAGCGGGTGTGCCAACCTCTGCCGGCTAGTCACCCATGCTCTGAGCCTGTTAGGCCTGCAGAGAAGCCAGCACAAGAAGCTGAGAAGATGTGGCTGCCCAGCTGTAGGAAGGAGCAGCCTCAGCCCCAGCCCCAACATGATGAACACCCTGGGGGGCCCATCATTATCCGGGACAGCCCTGATCCCCGCACCTCACCAGCACTTCGCACGTGTGCGCAGGACCACCAGTCTGTCCGGCAGAAGGAGCATGCCCGGCTGCCCAGTTCTCCTCCAATGCCTGTCATTGACAACGTCTTCAGCCTGGCCCCCTATCGGGACTACTTAGATACACAGACCCCCAAGGCCACAGCTGAGCCAGCCAAGGCCACAGCCACCTGTGAGAGCCAAGATGAGGATGGTAGTGAGGCCCTGCCTTCCCAGGAGGAATCTTCAGGACTGAGCTCCCCACTCCGTGAGGAGGTGGCCCTGGATTTGAGTGTGAAGAAGACTCAGGTTGAGGCTGCCCCTGTCAAGTCCCCTGGTCCTATGGTGCATACCAACCCTGATACAGCTGTGGATGGGACAGCTGTGGAGACCACGGTATCGGGTTTGCCAGCCTTGAAAAGGATGGTCACAGAAGTATCTGGGGAACCAGAGACCATGGAGGCCACGCCAAGGACCAGCTTTCCAGAAGCACCTGGGATGCCAGTGACCGCAGAGGCAGTCCCAAGGACCAGCTTCCATAGCTCTGTAGCTTTCATGTTCCGGAAGTTCAAGATCCTCCGTCCAACACCCTTACCTGCAGCTGTGGACCCATCCACACCCACCCCACCTCCCGTGCCCCCACAGCCCACTGTGCCCACCCCACCACCTGTATCCATGGGACTGCAACTTCTCACTCAGCCCTTGCCAGTGGCCTGCTTCAACCTGGCCCTGCCCAGTCCTCCAGCCATCACTGTGGCCTCCCCTGCCCCTACCCCTGTCCCTGTTCCTGCTGCCACCCCCACTCCATCTCCAGCTCCTACCCCTACCCCTGCTCCTGCCCCTGCCCCTGCCCCTTCCCCGGTTTCCACAGCGGACACAGCAGACTGTACTGAACAGCACTTTACAGGGCTCCACACGTCCCTGTGTGATGCTATCTCTGGCTCTGTGGCCCACTCCCCACCTGAGAAGTTACGTGAGTGGCTGGAGGTAGCTGGGCCTTGGGGCCGGGCTGCATGGCAGGACTGCCAGGCTGTCCAGGGACTGTTGGGCAGACTGCTGTCCCAGTTGCAGAAGTTCGTGTGCACGCAGCAGTGCCCCTTCCCCCACGTGGTCCGGGCTGGTGCCCTCTTCGTGCCCATCCACCTGGTGAAGGAGCGGCTTTTCCCACGACTTCCACCTGCCTCAGTGGACCAGGTGCTGCAGGAGCACCGTGTGGAGCTGCGGCCCACCACACTGTCAGAGGAGCGTGCACTGCGGGAGCGTGCCCTGCATGGCTGCACCTCACGCATGCTCAAGCTGCTGGCCCTGCGCCAGCTGCCCGACCTCTACCCCGACCTGCTGGGCCTGCAGTGGCGCGACTGCATCCGCCGCCAGCTGGGTGAGCATGGGCAGCCCCAGTAGCCACCAGAGCTGTGTGACGAGTGTCAGGTGTGTGCAGGGTGTGAGTGGGTCCCTGTGGGTGGCTCATTCCAAGGACTTGTGTCAGGGTGGGCTCTGGGAACCCATCTTCCTCTAGACTCTTCAGAATCAGTGTGTGGTCAGTATGGAAACCTTCCTAGATGGCCTCCTCGTTTTCCTCTTCTCCCCTCCTTTCTCTTCTTTGGTGCAAACTTCTTTGGCTTCCTGAGGCTTAGCTGTGGCCTGTCTTCTACCTGATATCCTTTTCTCCGTCTTTGTACACCCCAGCTTTCCCTCTCCTGAGCCAGAGCTGCAGATAAAGCCATTTGCTGCTGGACTGTGGTGCCTGGTGTCTCCACCTGCTGCACACTACTGGCTTCCCCCTTAGCTCCCTTTCACCCCGGTTTTGTTTTCCAGTGAGGGGTGACTCCCTAGCATGCAGGCACAGAGAATATCCCACAGGAGTCTGAGCATTGTGTGTGGTTTGCGTTCCCTCTAGTAACTATAAGGTATGGCATCCATTCTTGGCTGGCTTTCTTTTTATTTTATTTTTTTTTTCTTTTTGGCAGAACCAGGGATTGAACTCAGGCCCTTGCCAGGGCAGTGCTTAGTCTACTGAGCCATCTCCCCGGCCCCTTGGCTGGCTTTCTTTATGCCCACCTGGTCACACAATGGCTGTGGTATTCTAGAGTGTGGACGCTCAGGCTCCTTCAGGATGATCTCAGGCAAGGGTGGTGTTAGTGTGCCTATCCTCAGGGTCCTGTGCCCCTCTACTGCCCCTGGCTCAGCCCTATGTCTAGTTGTTTCCCTGCAAAAGTTGCCCTCCTTCTCCCGGTAGTGGCTTTGCCCTGGGCCCTGCTGAGTCAGAAAGGGCAGGGTCCAGGTGATGCATGCGGATAGGGTCTGGCTGTCCAGCACTCCAACCTGGACTCTTTCTTTAGGCAGGATTCTCAGTGAGATGGGTGCCTGCCAGTCTGACTTGTACCCAGTCCCTACTTTGTCCCTGAGCCACAGGTGCCTCTGGAGAACATTCCCTGCTGCTGTTTCTTCTGAGGTCCCCTGCTCCCTGTGGCAGGCTCCTTGGAATACACTGGGCTCATAGCCAGGCCTCCTGGTCTTGTCCTTCATACTCTGACCTCCCTTTCTGGGCAGTCCTGGCTGGCTCTTGATGGGTCCTGGGGCTGGTGTGGCAGAATGATGGTTCTCATGTCTGGTGGGGCTCATGTGTGCCTCAGTTTGCCTACCTGTACAATAGGTTTTGGGCTCAGTCAGTGGTTTTTGATCTGGATGTGTGCACTTGTCCTTGGTCGCAAACAGCTTCTCCTGCCTGAGCTCTCACCTGATGGGTTGTAGTGTTTGCCAGGAGCAGGGCTTGAGGGGAAAGGCCATGTGACCCTCTGTGCCATCCTGGCTGGTGACTCTAGAAGCTGAGAGGTGGTGTGTGGGGTCTATAGCCTGACTCTTCATTTTCCAGGTGACCTTGATACCAAGGCTGGAACTGTGTCCCTCTCAGAACCTGCTGTGGCCAGAGATGAGCCAGAGGGTCCATCTCCAGCTCGGAAGTCACCAGCCCCCAAGGTCAGAAGACCTGGGAGGAAGCCACCAGGAAGCCCAGAGAAGACAGAGGCACCTGCCCAGGGAACATCTCGGGGTCCCTCTCCTGTCCCTGCTGCTAGTGCCAGCCCACCAGGCCCTACCCTCAGGGCCCGCTTCCGCACCCTGCTGGAAAGCGCCTGGCTCAATGGCCTGGCACTGCCCACATGGGGCCACAAGGCTTCTGGACCTGACCGGCCCCCACAGCTGCTAGGCAGCCAGAGCCAACCCCTGTAGCACAGATCGTGAGTGCTGTTGGGATGGCCACCTGGTCTGTGTACCTGTTCTGTGAGCATTCTAAGCCCTCATTCGGCCACCAGCTGGGAGCGCCTAAGCCGAGGGTCTTTGCCAGAGACTGTTGGTCCTCTTCCCTGGCTACTGCCTCCCTCACCAATGACCTGGACAGAAGCTCTACCTTTCTCTACAGTCTTCGTTTCTTGTTCATAAAATAGGACAGCACAGCCTACCTCACAGGGGTGTGGGGTGATACGACACCCATATGGTGTGCTCTCTTCCTCTGGCCCTATACAGGCCCTCCTTGACCTCCGCCAGGCCCAGAGTAGGAGGCAGAGATGGCAGCAGCACCTCCGTGTCTCAAGTGGCACCTTGTACAGATGGCTCACACTTTTCAACAGTGCTACCACAGGGACAATGCCCAGCCTGGTGCCAGCGTCTTTCTGGGCTTGCCACCCCTGCTCCAGGAGGCCCTAAACTGACAAGTGACTTCCCAAGCTGCCTCCCCTGCTCTAGACCTCCCAGGACTGTTTTGTTTTCTTCATTCTGTCAGGCAGCCACAAGAATGCAAGGGCCAGAACTGAGTGGCAGCTGAGTCTCTGAAGATCTGGCTGAGGGCCAGTGTCCTCCCCCAGCCACAGCATGGCCTCCGTCAGCTATGTCTGCTGTGACCACTGCCCTGCAGGGTGCTGGCTTGAGCTTTGGGCTGGCAGCTGGGCCCTTGGCCTTGTTTAAGGGCTTGAGATGCACTTGGAGCCTGGGTTATTAAAGCATTTGAGTGGTTTTGGAGCTGGAACGTGATTGTGTGTTTTTGGTTTTTGGTTTTTTTTGACAGTCTCACTATGCAGTTTGGGCTGGCCTTGTGCTCACTTTTGTAGCACCCAGGCTGGTCTCAAACTTAAAGAAATCCTAGCTCGACCTCCCTGAGTGCTGGGATTACATGTGTGCACTACCACACCTGGTTCTGGGGCTGCCTGGTGGGTGGCATGGTTCAGGGCTGAGACCATGTGGGGCTGGGGATCAAACAGGTCCTTGTGCTTGCCAGGTAGGCTGAGCTATGTCTCTGGCTTCTGGTTGTGTGTTCGAGGGGTTGTGGGTTCTTGAGACTCCTACAGGGTTCTGTCTACTGAGGTAGGTGTCACACCCCTGCCAGACTTCAAGGACTGTGGGTGGGTCTGCTGGCCTGGAACTGTGCCCTCCTATAGATACCCACCCTGTGGGCCCTGTGCCCAGGCAGCAGCAGTGGCTGTCTGTCTGCAGGATGCTCTCTGGGTGGTGCTAGGGCTCTACACACTTGTCTGGGTTCTGGTGAGCAGGGCGGGATTTGGGGTGGCAATTGCTTGAGGCTGAGTGGCCCCAGAGTCCCGATCTGCTTCCTCCTGGATCATCTCCCCTCCATTTACACCCACTGATGACTCATGAACTAAGTCTAGAACTAACAGTTTCTACACCGTCTGGGTGCACCCTATTCTCCCTCTTTCTACCCCTAGAGGACTTAGAGGCCAACACTGTCACCTTCCTACCCCATCACATCTGTGACCCTGTGCCCCTCCTAGGAATGCAGGCAGCCTGAGAAGCCTATAGGGACTGTTCTGTCCCCTAAGCGCTGGCAGGTGACTCGGGGATGTGGACACGCCCCAGCTGCCTGGCCCTAGGTGAGCAAACACCTGCCTCTAGGCCTCCCAGCCCCAGCCTGGCTTCCTCTTTCTCCCATAGGGCAAGAGAGCTGGGGAAAAGTAGCGTCATTCCCCAGTTTATGCACCAGGGGGCAGAGTAGGGAGTCTCAATCAAACTCAGCCGACCTCCCCAACAAAGTGACATGTTGCTGTCTTGGGTGAATCCGTGTGTGGGTGTCCTAGGAGGGTGGAAGCCCCTTGCTGTGTGACTGTGAACTGGAGTCTTATCCTCTATGGTTCCTGGGAAAGGTGGAGGTACCAGGGCTCAAGTTTCACGCCCGGTGCTGCAAGAGACTGCGGGACCACTGTCAAGGGAACAGGAGCAGGGAAGGGATGCGTGGGCAGGGCCAAGGTAGAGTCAGGGTTGTGGGCGGGGTCGGCCGTGGATGGAAGGGAACCACCGCCTCCCAGCTCTGGAGGGGCGGGGTGGGCGCGCTGATCCCACCCGGTAGAGAGGGAGGAGGACGTCTGAAACAGGCCCTTCACTCCTCCATGGAGGTATCAGGAATAATGTGCCCTTTCCTGCTGGGCGTGATGGCACAGACATGAGGATTGCTGAGAGTTTGAGGCCAACCTGGGATACTTTGGGAGTTCAAGACCAGCCTTATACATAGCAAAATCCTTCCTCAAGCTCCCACTCCCCAAAAGACTGATGCGCCCTTTCCTGCAGACTGCTGTGATCCCTAAATGATAGTCAGGAGAGAGCCGGGCCAGGCAGCTCAGGCAGGGCCAACCAGCCAGGCTGCAATGGGTGTGAGCCCAGAGATGCTTGTTCAGGCAACTCAGAAAAATATGCTTCGCTGCATCCCAAGGAGCAGGGCTCTGAGAGAGGGGAGTGACAGACCTGAGGACTTCTGAAAGCCCGTAAGAGAAGGACCCACTGGCCATGTCCTTTGGAGATGACATTGTCTTGGCAGGGGGCTGAGGAAAAACAGCAGGCTCAGGATCCAGAATAACTCATCCTTTCTTGACCATCTCAGGCATGGGGACAAAACTTCTGTTGAGGCCCTGGGCTAGGAAGTCACAGAGGGAAACTTCAGTTCATTAAATGGGAAAACTTCCTAAGCAGCTGGAACTTCGATAATCAGCTCTTGGTCTCTGGGAACATTCAGTCCCTGCACTGGGAAGACGTTAACTCTGGCAGACCCAGAGCCCATGGTAAGTGGGACTGTGATGACCCAGGCCTTCAAGATCTCTTACAAAAGCAGAGCTGCTGTTTGGGGTTTTCTTTCCCCAGAGGCTCAGAACTAGAAAAAGCCTGACCCCAACGGGCAAGTGTCTATCAACATCATCCCTAGACCCATCCCACCACCTCCCCCTCCCCGCTGCACCCAGATGCTGCCTGGTGTCCCCTGTCCCAATGTGCAGGGGAATCAACCTCAGGCCACTGAGGTGGAAGAAGACAAGTAAGGCTGGCAGCTGGGGATAATGCCCTGTGTCCTACCCTCTCACCTGAACACCAGGACACAGATGACCTTGAAGGCAGGGAAGACCTTGAAGTACAAGGGCAGGAGCTGAAGACCTGAGGCTTGAGGCAGTCCACCTGCCCTCCTTGGACTACCTTGTCACCGATGTCCTGGCACCTGCTGCTTCCTCTCTACTCCCTTCACCCCAGGAACCTGCCCTGCCCCTCTCTCAGAAGGTGTCCTCTGGGCCACATTACACACTGGGAATCTGCTTGGTTTGCCTACACCTTTCCCTTTTTTTTTTTTTTTGAGGGAAAGAAAGTTCCTGTCTGAGAGAGGGACAGGAGGGGGGCCCAAGCAGGTTGTCCCCCACCTTTCCCCTTTTTAAAATTTTCTTTTTTCTCTTTTTTTTTTTTTGTGAAACCAGGGATTGAACTCGCCATTGCGCTTGCCAGGGAAGCGCTTATTCCACTGAGCCATCTCCCCGGCCCTTAAAATTTTCTTTTTGAGACTGGTTCTCTCTATGCAGTTCAGGCTGGACTTTAGCTTACTTTGTAGCCCAGGCTGGTCTCGAACTCACAACGATCTTCCTGCCTCAGCTTGCCGAGTGCTAAGATTACTGGTGTGTGCCACCACACCTGGCTAAAACTTATTTTTGTTGTTTGTCTTTTGAGAGAGGGTCTTGCTTTTTCAATTCAGGCTGGCCTTGAACTCACTATGTAACCCAGAGTAGCCACGAACTCAGCGATCCTTCTGCCCTAGCCTCCGGAGTGCTGGACACAGTCGTGCGCCACTGAGGCCCTGTTTATTTCTATTTATTTCTAGAGGTCTTCACAGTTGCCCATGGAAATGGGGCTGGAACTTGCGATTTCCTGCCTCAGCCTCTCAAGTGCACCTCAAGATCCGGCTTGTCTCTCCCTTTCTCTAGCTTGTCAAGTAGCAGCAGTGACACCCCATCCTTCCTTCCGTTTTTCTCCCTGTGTGGATGGAAGCTCACCAGCGACCAGGGGCCTTCAGCCCTTAGCAGGCACCCCGTGATTTTAAGAATGGATGCATCTGCTGAAGGAACCAAAGAACGATGAACAATGACTCAGCGCTCCCCCTGGCGGACAGACCCGGAATGGCACCAAGGCTCTGCTGCTGTCTAAGGCTCCAACCAAGTTCCTGGTGCAGCCTTGGGCCACACAGCAAGACCCTCCTCTGGGGGCAGGTGAGCTCTTCCACAAGCAGACGTTTTCTCCTTGGAGCTCCCTGGTTTTCTGCTTCCAAGGCTCCCACTGGCCACTCCAGCTGGCTGGGCCAATAGTTCAGTGGTCAGGCCTGAACAGCAGCCCAGTGCCGCAGGGACTCAGGCCACAGAGAAAGGTGGAAAAGGCCTCACTGGTCACCCTGAAGGTCACAGAGTGTGCTGTGTGCCTAGATCTCAGGGTAAAGGACAGTGGCCAGGGAGGGGCTACAGCCAGGTGGGCTCAGCACCCCCAGGGGTCCTCAAAGAGCCAGAGCTGGGGAGACCTCAGACTGGGCATGGTCAGCCCCTGATGTAAAGGGGAGCCTAGCACTGGAGTGGGTGTCCAGATGTAGGCACGGGTGTAGAGGGGGCTGGGAAAGAGGGAGGTAGCCACTGGTCTGGTCTGGATTTGACAGATGTCTTTGGTGTTGTAGAGGCAAGAGCATGCATGGTCATGGATGACTCAAGCCCCTAACCCATGAGCAGGAAAAGGCCAGGTAAGTGGCACTGCAGAGACCTCCTGCAACCCAGGGCCAACATCTCCACAATGCAGCCACAGGGGATGTGGTCTGGGGGCTGGAGCTCCAGTGGGCTTCAGCTTCAGTGGATGTGACTGGGACCAGGCTGCGTGTGTCCCTATCCAAGGGCCCAGGAGTCCTTAAGAGGGCAAGCAAGTATGGGCATAGTGTCCTGCCGGCTGTTTCCTGCCTGGTGCTAGGGGCAGAAGCAGGAGGTCACACTGGGGCTATGCCTGGCCTGGGGATGGAGGGGGCACTGTGTACACCCTAGAGGGTCCAGAGTGGGGTGGCATGAATTGGAGTACTTCATGGCTGCCTCAGTGTCCTGAATCAATTAAAAATGTTTTCCTCTTACAGTCATTTTGACTTTGGAGAAGAGCAGGAAGTCCCATGATGCCAGATCTGGTGAATAAGGTAAATGGGGACACAGTATCGTGTTTTCCCAACCTTGCCTTTCTTTTGGTTGGTACTGGGCAGCATTCACTGTTTTTGATCACACCTCATCTAAAGGACTTTCAGACCTGCTTCAAGAAGCAGCAAGATCGATGGGACGGGCTCATAGTGAAGGGGAGGATTTAGGGGATTCTTGGATTCATGGCAGTATGTCTTTTACTGATTGTAATTTTTTAAAATTAAATATTCACTATGTATTTTGATAACACCTCACATGTTCATATCCACCACATTTGGCTTCAATAACTTTTTTTTTTTTTTTTTTTTTTTGCAGAACCGGGGATTGAATTCAGGCCCTTGCGCTTGGCAGGCAAGCGCTTATTCTACTGAGCCATCTCCCTGGCCAACTTTTTTTTTTTTCTTTCAATAACGTTTTTAAATACACCGTTTGAGAAAAGAAACAAAGAGAACCGAGAGTGGTAGCGTACCCAAGACCCCGCCCCCCTGCGGCCCCGCCCTTCATCAGCAAGGAGCGGTCACGTGATCGCGAGGGGAGCTCGCTGATCGCACCGGAAGTCGCCGCCAGCAAATTTTCTCCGCCATGGTGAGAACAGGCGTGGCGTGGATCGCGGGCTGGCGGGGTGGGAAGTATACAGTGGAGGCGATATCGGGAATCTGCGTGGCCTGCGGCTCCCGGGGCGAGGAGTCCCGAGGCGCCTCTTTCCGGCCTCCAGTGGAGTCCCCCGGGCCAGCCGCCGGAAGCCGCACACTCAGAGCAGGAAGCGGCTTTGCATGGGGCTGGGCGCGCTAGCCCCGCACACCTGCACGGAGGGTCCTGCCAGGCCCCGGATTTCAGCTGAGGAGAGAAGGGGAAGTCAGAGCCAGAGCTGGCGTCAGGTTTAACGCTGTCAACGTGTGGTGGTTGTGATCCCAACGCTCTGGGAGGCTGAGCAGGAGGATCAACCGTTCGATCTCAGCCCAGGCAGTCTGACAGGAGTGCATCTCAAAATACAGAAAAAGTGCTGGGGGTAGTAAAACAGCAAAGCATTCCAGGAGCAGAGGCCTAACTTTATGTAGATTTGATTAGGTTATGGGGCTTCCTGAGGGTACATTCAACAAGGGAGCCGAGGACAGAATGGCTGAGGCACAGACCTTGTACCCCGGCTAGGGGTAATGGTGGGAGGTGGTGTGTAGAGCATGGGGGAGGGAATGGAGGCTGGGGAAGGGCAGGCACACAGAGCCCAATCTCAGGGGCCTGGGCTCTAGTGAAGATACTGAGCACCCCCCAGGCCTTTCCAAATGGAGCCCCAAAGGGTCCAATCTACTGAGGCATTATTTAAGCAGAGGCTTGAGCAGGGTGAGGGGGACATTGAGGATGAAGGCAGAGCAGGACTGGTGAGTGGAACAGCCCGGAAGTGGTGTGGCTGAACCTCAGCAGGGGTGGGGAGAAGGATCCCTGGGTTGCTGTTGGCCTTCTTGCTAGTGCTTGGGGTGGGTCTGCCCTGAGGAAAGCATGTAGTTAGGCACCGACTGGCGGACTGTGGCCCAGAGTCAACATCAGAGCAAGGTCTGGTGGCTGTGATCTGGAAGAGTTCTCTAACCAGCTGAGTGATGGGGAGAACAAGCTGCCCAGAGTGACTTGTCTGTGACATGAGTCCTGGCTGCAAGTTGGCCTTCTATAGCCTGCCTGCCTCACTCCTTGCAGAGGTTCCGGTTCTGCGGGGACCTGGACTGTCCCGACTGGGTCCTGGCGGAGATCAGCACGCTGGCCAAGATAGTTGAGTGCACGGGTCTGTGTGGGTTGGGGCGATGGCAAGATCACTCAGCTGTTCCCATGCTCTGTGAGATGGTCATGTGGCTGCCTTCTCTGACCTGCCCCTAGCACTGAGGGCCAGGCGGCTTGGTCCAAGTGACACAAGGACTTTCCTTCCAGTCCTCTGTGAAGCTGCGGCTGCTGTGTAGCCAGGTGCTGAGGGAGCTTCTGGGACAGGGCATTGATGTAAGTACAGGGTCTGTCACCCTGCTGTCTCACAGCCTTCTCAGACACCCCATACCTCCCTGCAGCCCTGCCTGTTCCTCAAACAGGGTCCAGGCTGGGGTGCACGGGGCTTGGGGCTCCTGCACCCCCTCAGTGCCTCCTTCTCCTGCAGTATGAAAAGATCGTGAAGCTCACAGCAGACGCCAGATTTGGTGAGAAGCCTGCTGTGTCACACATCCTGGGTGTCCTTCCTGGGCCTTGGCCTGGTCCCCTCCTCCCCACAGCCTCCCTGTATTCCTGGAAGGGATGAACCTCCAACAGGGGTGCCTGGTGCTCTGCCAGCTTGTAGGGGAGCAGTCACAATGCCTGTGACTCAGGGAGGTGGCTGTGGCTGCAGTGACACCCCCTATCCTGGTCTCCAGAATCTGGTGATGTGAAGGCCACAGTGGCGGTGCTGAGCTTTATCCTGTCCAGTGCAGCCAAGCACAGTGTAGATGGCGAGTCCCTGTCCAGTGAGCTGCAGCAACTGGGGCTCCCCAAAGGTGCTCTATGGGGAGTGGTCAGGACCTGGGGTGGGGGCTGCTGGTGGGAGTGGGGCTGTGTGGCCCTGGCTGGGACCTGTCACCCAAGCGCACTGCTGCCCACAGAGCATGCAGCCAGCTTGTGCCGCTGCTACGAGGAGAAGCAGAGCGCCCTGCAGGAGACCCTGCGTGCCTGCAGCCTGCGCGGTGAGTGGGGGCTGGGGTGTCCATATGTGTGTGCCATGTCTGCCCTGGCCCTGAGTCTCTTGATTGAAGCCTGTTACAAGTACCTGCTCTGCGTGGACAGAGGCCACACAGCCTTGAGGGTTGCAGGTCAGGCTAGGCTGGACTGGGACAAGGACAGGCTCACTTGGCTCACTCACCCGAATGTCCCCTGTGCTCTGTGCCCTCGCAGTGAACAGGCTGGCTGGTGTGGGCTGGCGGGTGGACTACACCCTGTGCTCCAGCCTGCTTCGCTCTGTGGAGGAGCCCCTGGTACACCTGCAGCTGGAGGTGGCAGCAGCCCCTGGTGCCGTGGCCCAGCCTGTGGCCATGGCTTTGTCAGCAGACAAGTTCCAGGTCCTCTTGGCAGGTGAGGCTGACTTCACTGGAGGGGTGTGTGGCCTTCCCCATCTTGCTGACTTCCTCCCTCTGCCACTTGTCCCCACAGAGCTGAAGCAGGCCCAGGCCCTGATGAACACCCTGGGCTGAGGAGGAAGAGGAGGAGGAACTCAGCTTCCCTTCTGTATCAAGCTGCTGTCCCCCAACTTCAGGGGTGGCCTCATTTCTGCATGTAGGAGGCCTAGCCGAGGGCTCCTGCCTCCATCGGTTGCCCACTCAAAAGAGTTCAGCATGGGCTTCTCGATGGGCCTTTCCTGCATTGCCTCCATCCCCATGAAAGGCAGGAGGAATAAAGAGAGCATAAAGGAGTGTGTGGGTCCCTTTTCCATTTCTGATCAAGGGTTTCTATGAGAGACACTAAGTAACATTCTGACCTCCTTGCCTGTCCCTTTGTTCCTCCACTGCTGAGGTAGGGCGGAGTACAGAGTCCACAGTGGGAAGCCAGGTAACAACTGTAAATACGTATGCCCTGAATTCTATACTTACGCCCTTAATTCTGGTCACCCAGTTTCGTCAGACAGAAACTACTAGCCTTAAAATGTGGGAGATTTTAGTATTCTCACTGCTGGGTCAACTAGAAAAAATCAACCTCAGAGTTAAACTTGCATCATTGATTAAATGGATTAACAGCTACAAAGGATTTCTTCCACCAATGGTAGAATACACATTTTTCTCAGCAGCACAAGGAACTTTTTCCAAAACAGACATATCTGAGACCATAAAGCAATCTTTAAACAAATACAAAAGAATGGAACTAACCCCCTGCATATCATTGATCCTAACAGAATGAAGCTAGAAAGAACCCACAAAAACTAAACTCATGGGGGCTGGTGAGATGGCTCAGTGGTCTAAAGCACCTACTTAGAACAAGCTTAGGAAAGCACAGGGACCGAGGTTCAATCCCCCAGCACCACATGCCAGCTAGCCCCGCCCCCAGGCGGGCTGAGCTGGCCACACACACACACACAAATAAAATTAAAAAAAAAAAAAAAAAAAAAAAAAAAAAAAAAAAAAAAAAAAAAAAAAAACACTAAACTCATGAAGAGTACTGGTTTTTTTTGGGGTTTTTTTTTTTTTTTTTTCAGTACTGGTGATCAGACTTGGGACCTTGCGCATGCCAGTAAGGCACCTATGCTGCTGAGTTTGCTCCCTGGCCTAATAGTACACTTTTTTTTTTTTTTTTCTTTTGGCAGAACCCGGGATTGAACTGAGGCCCTTGCACTTGCCAGGGAAGCGCTTATTCCACTGAGCCATCTCCTCGGCCCCAATAAGTTCCAGTGCAGTTTTGTGTGTGTGTGTGTGTGGTACCAAGGATCAAACTCGGGACCTTGTGCTTGCCAGGCAAGCTCTTTTTTTACACTTTTTTTTTTTTTTTGTTTTGGTGGGGGGGGAAGGGTCTACAGGGTGTTCAGGGTCTTACTACTAGATCATACTCCTGGTGATCTGCCTGTTTACAGCCTCCCAAGAGCTGGGATTATAGTTGTGCCACCATGCCCAGATTCAGTTGCTCAGCCTGCTCCGGGGGTGGAGTCGCCTGTACCTGCTTGCAGGTGCTTTAATCACACCGAGCCATTTGGCTAGCCCAGTCTAAGATTTTTTTTTCCCCCCCAGAACCAGGGATTGAACTCAGGCCTTTGCGCTTGCTAGACAAGTACTTATTCTACTAAGCTGTCTCCCCAACTCCCAATAATACATTATTAGAACAATCAGTGTGTCACAGAAGAAGGGGGCCGGGGAGATGGATATAGTGTACTAACAAGAAATTGAGAGAAAAGTGCCATTACGTGAAAAAAAAAAAACAACCCAGCCCACAGCAAGTCCTGTCTCATCCCATGCATTCCCACTGGCTGGTCCTGGGGTGGTATCCCACTTCTGCCATCAGCATCCCAGTTACTCTTGGTGGTCATGGAACATCATACCCTGATCTGTGTTCAATCATTTGTCTTCTGAGCCTGCACTCATGTTTGTATCTCACTTCAAGAGTGTTGTAAAAAATTTTTCAATAGAAAGGCAGTGGGGAGATAAAAGACTGATGGATTTAAAAATATTCACTGTATAAAATTCATGAGTCCAAGCCAGGCAGGGTAGTGTACACTGGTTACCTTAGCTACTTGGGAGGCTCAGGCAAGAAAACTGCAAGTTTAAGGCCAGCCTGGGCAACACTTGAGAGCCTGTGTGAAGAGGAGGGGATGCTGCCTGCAAGCCGCCTGTGCAAGTGGGGAGTGTGAAGCACATTCTCTGCACTGTGGCAAAGTCATTTAGTGCTGGTTTTTTTTTTTTTTAATTTATTTATTTTTATTTTTTGGCGAGACTGGAGATTGAATTCAGGCCCTTGCGCTTGCCAGGCAAGTGCTTATTCTACTGAGCCATCTTCCCGACCCTTTCTTTTATTT